AAAAAAAAAAAAAAAAAAAAAAAAACTCTGGTATTTCTGCAACCTATGGATTTTGTCTGCAAATCCCAGAAAGAGAGAGAAAGAGAAGGAATGAGCGGCGATGGAAATGGAGGCTCTGGATTTTGGCTTTCGAGCTCTGAAATTCCTATGTGGTCCGCTCTTTATTATCCCTCTCTTTAAAAATTAAAAGAATAAAAAATCAAAAAACAAATACCTGCTTATATTCTTCGTCTTCCTCGTCGTCTTCTTCTTCTTCTTCTTCTTCTTCTTCGTCTTCGTCTTTCCGATCTTAAATTATTGCAAATCACACTTTGTGTATCCCGCGTGACTCTCTCTCTCTCTCTGTTCTCTCCTCTGACTCTCACTTAGATTTGATCTTAAACCAACAAAAAAGAAAAAAAAAAAAAAAAATACATTTACTCGGGAAAAGGCGGTTGTGGGACCCACTTCTTCCCTCTCCACTTTCCTTTCCTCTCTTCTTTGCCCTTTCCAGAAGTCGGCAACCTATTCTGTCCAACCGGCGGCGCCCGGTGAGTGACTCTCTTCCTTCACTCTAGTCCAAAATGTACGCACATATAAATTTAAAACAAAAAAAAGATGAGATAATTCTCCGGTACTCCGCCACTCAGGCGGCGGCACGCGGGTGGTCAAGTAAATAATATTCCTCCACAAGTCAAATTTAACGGACATCCCGGTAAATTTGGGTTGAAGGAGATTGAATACTGTGCACAAGATCTAAATCTACTCCCCTTGCACTCGCTTTTCTTATTGCTCAGATCTCCTCTGTTAAACCCTAATGGACCACTCACTATTAAAAATTATTATTATTATTATTATTATTATTATTATTATTATTATTATTATTGGATTTGACTAGTCAAACCCCATCTCTTATTAGCCTCAATAATCAGACTACTAATTAAGGCATTCGTGTAAACTCAACTCAACCCTCCATGCCCTGGCATTCTAATCCCATTTATTAATCAAAACACTGTGTTATTATTATTATTATTATTAAAAACGTGTAACAATGGGGTAGAAAAAAGGCATTGGGGGAAGGAGTGGGAAGGTTGGAAGGGCAAGTGGTAAACCCGTAATGTAAATAAGGAGGAAATTTGAGAATAAAATATGCTTCTTATTTTTAACCAACCAAGGCCATAATTGACTAAACCAACAGAAATTAGACAACATGAGTGGACATCTACATAGTGGGACCCTATTATGACCATTCTACCCTCCTCAAAAACCATATTATTAATTATTTAATTCTTGTTTTGATTTGATGTGATATTCTCTTATGCCCCTACCCTTTAATTCCTTCTTCTTTTTTTCTTAACCATATCGTATTTGACTAAAATGGCAATTTTTTATTATTATTATTATTATTATTATTATTATTATTTTAGATTATATGGAAACTACAATTACTCTATTATTTTAATCATTTTTAAGAACCGGATTCATTGGGCGGAACAAATAAAACGTGACGCGTATTAGTCAAAATCAATATGCGGATAAAGTTAAACCACGTGTAAATTGGTTTCCCATGGGATTTCCAACCCTAATTACACACCGTCAAGATTAAATTGGGTGGAAACTACCAAAATTACCCATGCTAATCACGCCTACCCCGCCTTCCTTTACATGGTCATACTTGGAATTTTATTTATTTTTAAAACTGAACATTATCTGAATCTAGCTGGCAGAGTTTTAAAAAAGGCAATAACACGCTTCGGCTTTGGGTCCACCCAACCCACTTCTCTTCCCTTACGCCTCTCTCTGCCGCCCTTCACATCCAAACCCGCCTCTCCCTTAATACCAATTAATTAATTAAATTACAAATTATAGATTACATAATTTCTAAATACTAAATATAAATATAAAAATAAAACAAAATAATTTGTTAATTATCCTTTTGGTTTTTAAAAATAGAATAACAATTTAAAACATGCTCTATCACCTCATTTCTTTTGAAAATAAGTTAGTAGAGTTTCATTTGGTACATCATAAAGTTCTATGGTACCGCATTCTAGAGAATCAAAATTAAACAACCAACAAACTTACAAAATGAATGGGACATTTGCCTATAAGTTAGGCTCATATAACCTAATCTCATGACATTTCATACATGTGTTTTACTTATCATATCTGTCCTACAAGTTTCTTAATTGACCACATAATTTCAACTTTTTTTTTTTTAGATATTTAAAAAGTTATTAATAAATCACGCCAACTCATAAATAAATAATAAAAAATAATCAAATTTCTTTTATTTCAAATATACCATTTAAAATTTAGGCAATCAAAGTAACCTCGGTTCAAACTAGCTATCAAATAAAAAAAATTGATCTTGAGAGAAAACGTTAGACTTAGCTGGAGCTCCCTCTTGACACCGTTGATCTAGTGTATGTGTTCGATTAAAGATATTAGATGAGACAAGTATAAATATGAAAGTCCCTCTCGAGTCGAGATACGTAACTTACTCGAACTCAACCCGACATCACTTTCTTCTCGGAATCCATTATGCCAACTAGATTTACGCATCAACCTAATACAAAATCCATGATATTTTATTAGGTAAAATACTATGAAGGATAACTTCTTCCATTATTAACGTTATTTTAAATTTATGGCTCCTCACCATAAAGCCTAAACCTACTATCCCAAAATTTCCTCAAAGTTCAAATTCCCGGGACACACTTTATAGCTTTAATGTGAATTTAATTGTTAGATTAGTTCTTAGACTTTAATATAAGCCCATCATTTAAATGGAATGAAAATTAATATCGAATATTTATTAATACAACCAAGTTATTATATGACGTGGTTTTACATCAATGAAATATCCAATAACCATATATACTATGAATGTATATAAATATTTATTTTAATATAACCAAAGTGGTAAGGTTGCAGTGGTAGGAATTTATGTTATGGATAGAATTACAATTTAAAAACATTATTGAATTTTAGCGATGCAACAAAGTTGGTTTATTTAATATGATAAGATGGGCGATTCTCCAAAAACCATTTTTTTCGGAAGTTGAAAAATTATTATAATAATAGCTCTACACTTACGATGCACATTACGAATTAAATAAATGGATTATAAAAATTATAAGAATTAAATACATCATCATTTGATTTCAAAACCACCAAACCACATTATCAATTTATGTTTTTTTTTTAATGGTTTTCTTAATTAAATAAATAAAATTATTGATATTTGGACCAAAAGAATGTCAAATCTAAATAAATAAGAAATTAATCTGCCCTTCAATTTTTTAAATCCGAACTTTGAGATTCACTGCTGCCAATACTACACTTTAATTTAAATAAATAAGAATAAATTATTTTAAATTGCAATTGTCTTCTATTAAAGCTGTTTGACTGTTTACACGTGCAGAGCAACATGTGTAATGATTTTTTTTTTATTATTATTGTTATTAAAGTGATTTTAAAAAAAATATATTGCGGTTGAAATAAAATTTTGGTAATTTTCAAATTGAAAGAGAGATATTTACATAAAAAATAGTTAAAAAAATAAGAGAAATTATTACAAAATGTATGTTGTGTTGGTTAATTAATATTAAAAGTATGTTAATTGGTTTTGTGAAGGTAAATGTGTCGAAATAAGAGCCACAGAATTAATTAATTTAAAGCCTAATTGCACTCTCTCGATTGGCTCAAATTTGTTTTGTTTTTAATTTAATTTTAATTTATTCGAAACTTTGGTTGGCCCAGATTCGAAAAAGAGATATTAATATGCAAGTATTTAAATTAGGTCACGAAATTAGAATTAGGTAGTGAGTAAAAAATGTAAAAAAAAAAAAAAAATAGTTATTAAAAAAAAAAAAAAAAAGGGGGAAAACAAACTTGAAAACCACGCAACTTGGACTACATTCAACCCCGCCAAAAAAAGATTCTGGCGTGCACTAACCACTTGAAATAATCCACCTCACTCAGGTACCGAGGAGCCCATTCTCCAACCATTGCCTGCCACCTGTCCCTCATTTGTGTGGTCATGTGAAGCATTATTGGACGGTGAGAAAGGTGTTTATGACTAATTGCAATTCAATGCACCCTGTCCCAACACTTTTCTTTTATTTCTTTATTTCTTTTATCTTAATCCTTCTTTTTTTTTGTTTATTTTTTAATCCCTTCCTTTCCCAAATAACCCTATTTTCAATTTTATAAATTCTCTCATCAATCTTTTAAATTCATAAGTTATAACGGATCTAGAATTCATCCTACTTTTTTCTTTACCTGAGTTTTTTTTTTATAAAGTATTTCTACCTGACCGAAAGCTACTTTCTTTTCCTGTAAAAATATCAGATAGAATGAAAGCTCAAACTAATAATTATATCAATATTTAAATTATAAACTTTTAATCCATTTAATTTAAATCTAATATTATATTAAGGAGAAATCTTAATTGATTTACGTAATTTAATTAATAGAATTATTAGATTGAGGTGATAAGTGATAAACCCCTCCAAATTTCGAGGTGTATTTTTTTTTCCCATAATCGGACAATATAATAATGTTCAGATTTAAACCTATACGAGTAATGAATAATGCGGTAAATGAGTAAAATTAGGTAATAATTAAAAATGTATAATAAGAATAGTAAAGCGATGCAGACAAGAAATGGGTAAAAATAAGAAGAACCATATATGGCTTCAAAAGTCCAACTCAACAACGGAATCGTATAATATTTTTGGTTGTTGCATTCCATGAATTGCAACAGATCTATATGCTTTTTTCATCAACTCCCTTTTTTTACAGGTGCAGTTAATATAATGGATGCTACCCAACACTTTAGAATATATTCCTAACTTACTTCATTTAAATTTTAAATTTTCATTTTAGACACTAAATTCCCGATATAGGCATCGACATCGACATCAGCATCCCACATACCTCTCTCCTTTCGTGGTTTGGGAGAATCGCATCTAAACGTACATTAACATAACCCACCCTATGTGCTGAGATATTGTTTGAGCGTACATGTTGTTGAGCTGACTGACGGATATAGCGTTTTAGATTTTTCTACCATGGGTTTACTCAGTTTTCTTCGTTTGATAAACACGTGGCTTGAGATTAGATCTTTTGTAGAAAAGGCGATTCCGGATGTATTATTAAAATAAATAAATTGGTTGCGAAAGTAGAGGGAGAAAAAGGGGAAATTAAAAAAAAGAAATGTAATTAATTGAAAGGAAGCAACCAAAAAAGCAAAGTGCAACAAATTCTTTCCTCTCTAGCTAGCTACACACACCCAACTTTATTCTTAGCACATATTATTATTATTAATATTAATATTATTATATTAAAGTTATAATTTTTGGCTCCCTCCTTCTTCCTTAATGCTCCATTTTTGAATTACTTTATAAGCTTTACGTGAAATAGAATCCATTCCAAAATGTCCACCTAACCTAACTCGACAAACTCGACCACATCTGTTATTTTTGTTTATCTTGCTTCCATCCACACTTGAGTTATTGGACCCATTTATTATTTCTTTTTTTAAATATATATCTATCTTACTATCTTACTATAATCATATTATAT